TTTTTTGAAAAGTATCTCTTACCATTCTATAAGATCTAACCAAGACATTATTTGAATCCAACATCACCTTAATATCTTTAACAATATCACTATCAGTTGATGTTGATTGATCTTTTTCACCACTAAAATAAATAAATTTATACATAATATTAGTAATATATATACATATATATATATATATATATATATATATATATATATATATATATATAATAGATTATGAATAAGAAGTTTGAGAAAATACCGAAAACATCTTTGTCTATTTGTAATTTCGTTGTCAGTGTCATAAATGTATAACTGAGAGAATTTTGGTTCCGATCCTTTTGCTGGCAAAAGACTTCCAATACTATGATAATTTTGACCACCCAATCTGAAAATGTAAGGAGCGTTTCCTCTATTGATTGAAGAGTCAATTTTACCACCCATCGACGTGAAAGAAAACATTGAATTGTAACGTCGAATGTTTTTCATGAATGTTTGCTTTTTGAATCCATATTTCGAAACATTCTTTCATAAGTAGGGGGTGCATTCTTTAAGTCTGGAAGTTGAACTTTGCCGTAACCACAACATAATGAATAATCCGTGTTCCCATTTTCTTTACCTCTAATGGATTCATTTCTCCATAACTTTGCACGACATGTTTGACATACAACATCTTGATCACCATGATCCAAATATTCTGTAAAATAAAAGCGTTGAATAAAATATCAATGAATTTTATAATTATATAGAACATAGTATCTGAAATGTAAAATGGATTTTATTTTTTCATTACCATTTGAGATACCAACTATACGATTTTCATTGTTCACTTGATGTATATTTTCTACATCTTCTGTCAAATCAATCAATGGGATAGGGGATAAATGTCTTGTCTTCGTTTTTAATTTATGACATCCTGGATTTAACTTGATTGATGATGAAGAAGTTGTTACTGTAGATGCATTTTTTGATGTCATATCATTTGAAAGTACATGGTACTGTCTTTTCTTTGCTAACTTGGAAGTGATATATTTATCGAAACCAATGTTATCTGAATAAAATAAAAATAAAATAGTTAACTAAATAAATAAATATTTACATAATGGATAATAGTATATTTTAAAAACCATAAATAATTACCATTCGTAATGTTAGATAACGGATTTATAACATTTGTAATGTTAGAAAATGGAGTTCTAACATCTGTAAAGGAAGGACAGTATTGTATGGTTGTGTTATGCTTTGCAGGTGTTGTAAATGAATTGACATTTTGAGTTTGACGAACAATGTTGGTTGATTGATCTGCAAATAGAAATAACTTATAAAACTTGTAAATATATGTATTCAACTATATAACAGTAAAAGATGGAATATAAAATACTAATACGGTTATAGTTAATGGTTTTTTTGAAGAGATGCTGTAATGATATACTTGGAACGTTTGATATTGTTTTTATTTTCTTCGATCTTTTATTTTCCAAATATATTTTTCTTTGTCTTCTTTTCTCTTTGGCCTGCATGTGGTACATGTTACTATTGTTTTCTGCATAAGAAGACATAGGTTAGGAAATGAAATGTGAAATTATGTACATAATATGTTTATATAATACAATTGAAGTTAGTTAGAATTAAATAAATAATGATAATAAAGTAAATGTATTTAAAAAGTTACCTTTATTAATTTGTTTATTAAAATGTTTAACAAAATTTGCAAATATTAATTTACTCTTTTATAATATATTTTTAAAAAATTAGTAAATTGAAGATTTTAAAAATATGAAACAGTATAAAATAGAAAATATATTTGTTTATATTGTGTAAAAGAGACTTTAAATAAAGATATTAAAGTTAACATGAGTCGGATTGTAGATATGTGTCCGAAACTAAGATTTGAAGCGGAAGATTGTGTTGTAGTTGCAGAAATAAGTCCATCAAAAGAAGTCTGGATGTTTGTATACAACGACTCCAATCTTCCATAGACGGTCGTCGAAGATCAGCAGTCAATGACTGTCCTCGATTCCCCCTAAATCGATCGCAATCTACAACGCATGAAAGGCAACCTAAAAAATCATGGAGATCTACGATACCGTGTAATCGTCCGAATTGGTCTCCGTCAGGATTGAAAAATACGATTCGAAGGTAGACTCTCCTTCTTGCTGTTCCACAATCAATTATTTCCCTGATGAGCATCATGACTCATCATCCTCATTTCCAACCTAGGGTTTATTCGATTTAAATCTACTGTTTCCCCAATTTCAACCAATCGTGGGTTCGGATGATATCAGGGGTTAAAACCCTAGATCTCCATGGAATCAATGAAGGTAAAATTGTGTGATACACGATAATCGTGATGATTATAAATTGCTTATTGATCTTATGTATCTATTCAAGATTATTTTTTTACAATTAGAAAAACATCTATTCCAGCATATTGATTATTGTTGTAAATTTCAACCATAAATTCATAGAGAAAACAAAGTGATCTAAACTGATAATACTAACCTGACATATGGATATGGAAATCTTGCAGGTAGAACTGGAATGAGGATTACAACTTTAATGAAGCAGTTTGATGTAAGCTTAATGAAAAAAAAATCGCAGAAACAATTGAACATTAAGAAGACGAATGAGGTGTTTCAAAATTTTGGATTTCACGTTTTGAGGTAAAGTTATATGCTTGAATATTGGAAAAAGATTACGATTATATGATTTTATTGTTGTTGGATCTTTATTAGATATAATTTTCTTCCTGATTTTTTGGAATTTAAAAGATTACAACTAAAAATTAGTTTAATATTCAAATTTCATCTAAAAAGGGAGTATAGAATATTAGGAAATAGTTGGTTGAATATAGGTTATTTACAGAAGATAAGTAAATATGCTGCAACCATTACAAAAATGTATGAATTAATTTTAGAGAATCAAAGATATAAATTTTGTTTACATTTTATTATTCACAATACATAAGTAGCAGATTTTATTATTCAGAATACATAAATAGCAATATACTTAGTTTTCGACTTTTGAGTCCAAAGATGTATGATTCGAACTTTAATTGTGAAATCATCCTTGATTGAGTCAATTTCCTTTATAGGAGTAATATGTTCCATTGTACCTTGCAATTAAAAAATAATTTTTTGTTAACAAAAATGTTAAAATATAAAAAGAAAAATCGAAAGCCATTGATTGATTTATTTATTTATTTGTCTTAATTGTTAATTGACATTTATCAAAACATTTTCAAGTTAGGGGCAATATGGTCGTTTTGGAGTAAACGAAGTGGAAAAGGGTAACATGACAGTTATAAAAAATAAAAAACTATATCATAGACTATAGTAGAAGTTTTATTATTCAAAATACATAAAAAAAAAAAAGTAGAAATAGCAATACACATTGAATTTTTTGTTATTCAGAATACATAAATAGCAGAATACATAAAAAACCAAATAGATTGATTGATTATTATAGGTCAGATTTTATTATTCAGAATACATAAATAGCAGATTTTATTATTCAGAATACATAAATAGCAGAATTTTATTATACAAATTGATTGATTGATTTATTTGTCTTAATTCTTAACTGCGATATATCAAATACTTATCAAGTTAAGGGCAATATGGTCTTTTTGAAGTAAAAGAAATGGAAAAGAGTAAGATGACAGTTATAAAAAATAAAAAAGTATATCATACACTATAGTAGAAATTTTTTTATTCAGAATACATAAAAAAAAAAGTAGAAATAGCAATATACATTCAGTTATTTGTTTTCAAATTAAGGGCATAGATTGATTGATATAGCAGATTTATTATTCAGAATACATAAATAGCAGATTTTATTATTCAGAATACATATATAGTAGAATTTTTATTATACAAATTGATTGATTTATTTATCTGTCTTAATTGTTAACTGCGATATATCAAATACTTATCAAGTTAGGGGCAATATGGTCTTTACATATATAGCAATATTTTTATTATACAAATTGATTGATTGATTGATTTGTCTTAATTGTTAATTGCGATATATCAAGCAGATGAAGTAAGATCGATTGTTTTGAAATGCGATGTCAAATCTGTTGAAGGGTGTAATGATTATTGTTTTCGAATGGTATGTGTTCGATTGGTTATTGGGTTTGTATACAGGGATCGATTTTAAACGGAGGTTAAAGATTGTGGGAACGAATAACTGTTAAATTCGATGTTTTCTGGAACGAAGCCTTGGTTATTAAATGAATCATACGAAGGATCTGTTATTTGATTTTGGAATTGGGGCGAATAATCGAACGATTTGGAGTTGCGAATTTGATTTTGAAAAGCCAATCAGTTGGGTTCGCATATGAAAACAGATAAGTTTTGATTTTGGATTCGCAATTGGGTTAATTGGGTTATTGATTGAGGGACGATTCGTGAAGAAAAATGCGAAGTCAAGAAGGACTGTGAAATGTGATTTGTTCAATATTGGAGTCAAATGCAGTTCACGTGTAAAAGCAAAAATGTTCGCATTTGGTAATACAAATCAAAATTGGGTTTCGCATATGAGGTTGTATGGATTGGGGTTAAAGATGCGAAGGTGATTATGGTTAATATTCATTTCGCATTTGGTGAGACAAACAACTCAAATGCGAATGAACTAAAAAAAAATGACTGGAACATGCGAAGAAAGAGGGTGAATGAAGAATGCGAATTTTACAGTAGAATGCGAATTGGGGAAGAAAGCTAAGAATTTCGCATTTTTATTATACAAATTGATTGATTGATTGATTTGTCTTAATTGTTAATTGCGATATATGAAATACTTATCAAGTTAGGGGCAATATATTTTATTTGAGTTATAACCAAAATCAACTAACTTGTCCAATTTAAAACAATAAAAGTATCCAAAAATATTCAAAACCAATAATATTTGACATCCTAAATACCCCAAAATAAAAATCATACCAAGCAATTAAAATATCTTTATAACCAAAACAAATGATCAAAATATATTAAATGTGTCTTATAACCGATAGAAACTCACTTTTCAATTTTTGGAATCAAGAGTGGAGTTTCCTCTGCGGTTGACTTTCTTTTAGCCTTAGTTGAACTTAAATCATATCCAGAATCAACATCATAAATTTCTTGGAGGTTGCGCTTCAAATCACCTGATATTTTGCAAGGACTTGTTGCGGTTGACTTATCAACTGTTGAGGGTGTAAAACTTTCGTCTGTTTGTGAGATCACATCCTAATTTAAAAAAAAAATGTTTGATTCCTAAAAAAAATAACTAATATAATTAAAAGTTTATAAAATAAAATGAAAAACCTTTTGAACAGGCTGTACAACATCATCGGATTCCAAAGCAACTTGATTTAAGGAGACAGATTGAATACTCTAAAAAATAAAATGGAAATATGTTAATCGTTATGTACTTTAACATTAAAGAATTGTAAATTTTCAACAATAAAAAATTACATACCATAAGTTCTATTTTACTTTCCAATTCACAAACAATGGACATATCTTCTGTAACTCTGAGAACTGTGTAGATGTTATTATAGTTGTTGACATTGTATTCTGTAATATCTACAACAAAACCAAACTTGCGGTTTTTCAACACGTTAAGTTGCATTGGAAATAGGGCATCACTGTCTCCGGCCTGTAAGATATATTTTAATAAATTAAAAAAATTAAGTAAATGTTTTCTGATTTTAAAGGTATGAATAATATACCGCATCATGTATCTTTTTCAACTCGTAGGCACTTATATTTAACAACCTCCTTGCTTCCCTATCAAAAAGAGTCAATCCAATGGTTCCAGTACAATCTTGTACGTTAATTGGAATTATATACCTAAAACAAAAAATAATTATGTCATTGTTAGTGTTGTTTTAAGATTGACAAAATTAATAGAAATAAATATGTCTATACTTTATAACTGACTGAAATTCAGATTTTTTGCATTGTGCATTTGTACACTCGACAACCATAGTTTCTGAAATTCCCTCAGGGTTGGTATACGAATGATTGGTTTTGGGAACAGGGATAATTTTTTTTCCACATTTTTTGCATGCTTCATAATACCATGGTAGATTCTGCCTTATATTAACAATGGAAGCAACTAATAAAAACTTCATTTCCTGTATCATATCAAATGTAAAAATTATTAAAATAAATTATGCAAAAATAAAATGTAAAACATATAAAATAATGCAATATACCTTAATTGGTTCGGTGATCTCACAGATTGTTTTTAATGGAAAATTGCCCTTAAAGTCATCTGTATATGAAGAAGAGTAGCTTTGAAGTGTAGTTATGCTTTTTTCAGTTATACCGAAATTGTCATGACATTTCAACCTGTAATGTTTAATTTAGATTCATGAATATTAGGTTTTGTGTTTTTTTTAAGTTAAAATACATTATAAAAAAATAAAAAACAATTGGAAACTAACTTATTTTTAAACTCATTTATTTCATAAATGTCAGAATTTATGAACAATTTCGTTACTTCAAAATGACTTTTAGCTTCACCAAGACCTGTAAAAAATGTATATCCAATTATTAAAATTTATATAAAAACAGTAATTATAAACATCTATATATAAAGACTGAATACAAACCATTCCAAATGTTTAGCTTCAAAAACTGCATCACGATAACAACAAAATTAACAGTCGGGTTATTTTTTAGGTATTCTGAAATTTGATATGCTTGACTTCCAAAAATAGTAACCTTCAGATGTACAGAACTAAATAAACCATAAAATAGTATATTAATATTAATTTGTGATTAATTAAAGATAATAAATAATAAATAAATAATACAATATAATCTCACTCTAGGTTGCTAAGAGTGACTTTTATATAATGCTTGGATGGTACTGGATTTGAAGTTTCAAGAGGCCTAAATGACACGATATGTCCAATAACATCTACACAACAGATACCACAAAAAAATAAAAGTTTAGGATTAAATTCGTAATATTTAAATAATAAAATGTATAACCAAAAAAACAAATGATAAAAAATGATTTTATTAATATTTTATGACTAACCAAAGAATGTGTCTTTTGGGCATGTTTGTTCTATGATAGAATTAAAGTCAACAAACATAAATCCATTGACCGGACCCGAGAAATCATCACATTTTTTTAGGATGCTTTTCCAATCCAAAGTTAAGGTCTGTTTATGACCTGTATAACTAAAACCATTAGTAACAGCAGCCATATTGGGTTTTATAACTATATAACTTTCATCTTCCTTTAAAAGATGACGAAATCTGGAGAAATTCTGATTGAAGACACGAGCTTGGTATTGTGTACCCTGTTTAAAAAAAATTAAAAATTATTATGTTCATGAAACATGTCTAATATTGAATGATGAATAAAAAATATATCAAATACAACAAACCTCCTCATCCATGATGATCATTTCAATGGAACAAACTTTATTATTTCTGACAAAGTTCCAAATTTTAAGCACCCGAACCTTGATATGCGATTTTTCATCTATCTGGTCAATGTTATTTAGGTAAACCTTATTTCCTATTTCCATTTTCTGCAATAAATTTAATCATTATAGAATTGTAAGGAAAATTAGCAACCTTTTAAAATGTACAGAACATCCTAACCAATAAGTAAAACAGAAAAATTATAAATCAACACATGACAATAACAACTGACTTAATGTACTCATAAATTTTTAAATTGAATAATTCATTTTATAATAAAATGGAATACAAACAAAAACAAATAATTCATATGAAATAATGTTTTAGATTGAATAAAAGTTTATATAATAAGATGGAACACAAATATATAATAAACATGAAAACGACAATTATACCGAAAATGCCCCTGCAACATACTAACACTAACAGATAACATAACAATGAGTAAAACAGAAAAATTAAAAATCAACACATGACAATAACAACTGACTTAATGTACTCATAAATTTTAAAATTCTAAATTTTTTTGAGATTGTATTTAGATAAAAACAAACAAATTTTAAAATTTCATACCATAAAAAAAAGTTACTGTGCACATCTGAAAAAGACTATTTTTAATTTTTTTTAAAGAAAATGAACTTGTAATGTTCATTAGTTTTTCGTCTTTTAAACTGAAAAGGTAGAAGAAGTAGACGATTAAGAAGAATTACAAAAAAGAAGAAGAATAGAAATCATACAATGAGAACGTGATAGATACAGATAAATAAGAACATGGAGGAAATAGAAATATTGGTAATTCTGATTTTTGAATACACTAACCTGATATTTAATTCTTGAAGCGTTGCAGAATAACAAAGAATGAAGAAGAATACGTTTGCTGTGGTTTCTATGGAGCAGAATTGTTATGGAGCAGAATGGTAAAAACAAAATAACCGTATAAATGATATTTACGTTTGCTGAAAAATACTGCAGATTTTTAGGGATTTAATGATTGCAATATATTGAATTTGCAATCAAAATAAACAAACTTTCAAATTTAATCGTGATTTTCGAATCTTATTATTCATTAACATATTTTTTCAAATTATTTCCATAATCTTTATTCATTTAAAATTAATGCATGAATATTTTGAATGCAGTTGACAGCTAAAATTTCCTGATATATTGCATCAGTTTGAACTTTTATTCAATTTTCGGATTCAATGGTATTTACGTAAATATAGAAGAAAAAATGAGCGGGAAAACTCTATTTTGGGGGGCTGGGAGAATGCCACGTGGCGGAGTTCATATATATATATATATATATATATATATATATATATATATATATATATATATATATATATATATATATATATATATATATATATATAACTTATTTATTAGAATTAGGATTCAATATTTTACATATATATATAAATATAACTATATGGCTTTTTTATTTTATAATTTGAAAAAATCTAGAAATTTACACATTGATGTTATTTATTTCAAAACTATTATAAAATGACAAATCTCAACATTAATGAGATTAACATATGGTAATATGGTAAAATTGATCTTGATTTATTATAATTGATTAAAAACATATTAGAAAAATAATTTATAAAAACACAAAACTCTTCAAAAACATTTTTATATACAACATACTATATGTCAGACCCATGTATTACATAAGTTTATTTAATATATATATATATATATATATATATATATATATATATATATATATATATATATATATATATGAAATTTTAAACATTTAAAAAGTTTGAATTTTTAAGAAAAATGAAAAAAAATATTGAATTTGAAGTGACAAAGAATTGAGTATGAAATGAATCAGAGTAAATGTTTATCAATCAATTAGTAATTGAACACACGATGTAAATAAGATCTTCACTTCAGCCCAATTACGCTTTAAGAGTTTTTACAGAGAGAATAGACAATCATGTTCAAGTTATCTAACTTTAGTAAACGATCCTATTTATAGGATACATAAAGCGTACAAAAAATATACTAATGCTAAAACACTTAAGCGTCGAATCAAAAGAGCCTTAGTAAAATATATTACAGACCATACGAAGAGTACACAATAGGCTCCAACTCATTACAACCAAACTACGCTTACATTCTCCCCCTTTGTAAACAGAGTTGAAGACTTCAGTTCGTAAACAGTTGAATGGATTACAACATTACTCTTCGTATCTCAGTGTACCATGAGATAATTTTCTTCAGTTCCTTTTTATCCCCTTCATTATTCTTCTTTCAATGATTCATACGAACAATCAAGTTCGTATATTGCGAAGTTGAATACCTTTCGACCTCACTTACCTGGAATAAAATCCGTTTTGATTTCCCTGACTTGTCCATCCCAGAGAAAACTAAACCAAAAGGCTTCAAGCAGATTTCACCATTAGCATATTTCTTTAATTCTGCTTGTGTCTTCGAAGGAGCCATGGGTGCTGTAATTTCCAGTTCTTTAGTTGTAACCAACTCCACATCCGTTAATGCTAAGCATTCATAATAATTTTCAATAAAAATCTTGATGTGAGTAACTCCCAGCTTGTACTCATCAGGATCTGTGTTCTAAAGATATGAAAAAGACCTTTCGTTCAGCAGTAATGCAACATGTATAAGATCATACAAGTTCATTAAAGGAAAGTCAACAATTGTAAACTCACACACATTCCCATTTGCCCTGGTCACCACATACTTCATGTTTTGGACTGTGCTTTCGAAAACCACATCCTTCTTTATGCTTATGACCTTCTTTATCTTTGTTAATGACCATACTTCTTCAACAGGCTTCGCAAGAAACGCATGAAACCTGATTTTCATTTAAGCTCCTTCATCCTTCTCCTTGAACTTGCTTTCTGCTTTAAATTGAGGCATGATGAACATCATTTCGTTAATTAGAAAGTCCAACTGGATTGCATCCGTATTCGTGACAATGTAACTCTGTTTTGACTTATTTTCAAACGAATACATGTGATTAAATGCAACCTTGACTTCAATTATTTCATAATTGTAGCGCTTTGATGGATCACCCTTGTTCATACCAGGAGGATCACTAGCCCTTTGAGTCATTATGCTTTGAATCATTCTCATCTTTTCCAGTTCCGCTTCAGCCTCTGCCTTCTTTTCTTCTATAGATTTTTCTATAAGAATTGACTTTCCCCTTTCCTTCGAAGCTGATTCTTCAATCACTTCTTTTGCCTTTGAATCACTCCCAGCAGTGTTAGTTGATTTACCAATCACAATTCCTTTCGAAATTGATCTTGTGATTGGCATAGTTGTTACTACTGTTGAAGAGATAGGACCAGCAATTGCTATCACTGGCTTTGTTGTTGGGAACTTTGAAGGAAACACCTTTCCCACTACTTTCGCATCTTCACCGACATCCTTCAAACCTTCGCTTTTCTTTTCTCCCCCTTGTACCCCTGTACTAGCCAGGTGGGGCATTCGTTGTGGGAAGAAGGCTGGATATACGTGAAAGAGGAGCCAATTTTTGAAGAAGTAAGGCTTCGAATTTAGAAATTTTTTGGATAAGATCTTTTGAAGACAGCGAAGAAGACGAAGCTGTTGTTGAAGATAGCGCTTTGAGCTCCTTTAACAGTGTAAAAACTTCCATAAAATTCTTGTTCTCTGTTGTAGAAAGTTGAGCTATTTGAGGACTTAGAGTTTCATACAACTTGGAAAATTTGGTAACTGCATCACATATTATATCCACCTTTTGATTGAGAGATGCAAATTCGGTGCGAACAACTACAATCTCTTTCTCCATGTCTTGTCGAAGCTCTTGGAGTTTAAAATTCACATCTTCTCGCACTTTCTTCACATCTTGAACAAATAATGCCACCAATTTTAATTCTTTCAAGTCACCTTCAAAAGTAGATTTCTGAGAATTTAACTTCGCACTTTCATTTCTCTAGGAGACGAGACTCGGAATCTTTTATCATTCCTGAAACCTTTGAAGTAAGCCTCCCTTCAAGCAACTTTAACAGACCATCCACTTCTAGACTGGTCACTGAATTTCCTCCCCCAAGATCATCCTGTGATTGAAGAATAGAATTGAGTTTTGTATTCAATATCTTGAACTGCTTCATTATCATGAGCATGTGATCTGAGAAGTCAATTTCTTCTTCATCAAGCTCCAAATTTTCAAATGTCCCCCCAAAACCTTCGGACTCATGCTCAGTTTCCATAAAAGAAAAATCTTAAATTGGTGAATTTGTGGTAGGTGGATCAGTGGATTATGAAGAAAAAAGAGATGTAATTGGTTGTTTGATAATGTTTTCAAAGGTAGGAGAATCAGTGGTCGATGTAGTAGGAATGATAGGTGTGAGTTGTGGAGGTAAAGAAACAATAATGTCTGAGGTAACATCCGAAGTTTTACCCTGGTCTCCTGTATGCGAAGTATCCTCACCCATTGTGACATTTGCATCCGTATGAGATACGTTTACTAAAATGTCAGAAGTTCGTGCCCCCTCAGAAACTGATTTGGCAACTGAATCTTCGGGTGATATAACATCAGTTGGTGCAGGATGAGAAGATTCTTTCTGAAGATCGGTTTCTGGAATTGTTTCATTTTCATCAGCAGTAGACTCAAAGGAGATGATCACCTTAATTTTCTTCTTCTTCTTTGAGATGTGTTTGGCTATATCAGTTGCCCTTCATTTCTTAGAAGATGGTGAAGTAGGTGCAGGAATCTCACGAAAGAGAAGTCCTTGTTGCGAAACATGTGGTTTTCGGACAACATTTGTTAGAGGAGATCAACTCTTATGTTTGGATTTCATCTTGATTCTGCGAAAGACACCAGTCTTCGAAGGAATGATTTCCTTTTGAGTTGATGGGGTATCAGCAACAGAAACTTTGGTTTTTGTTAGCTCTGCTAACGTAATTTTTAACTTCTTTAGACTCTTTGTAGATTTAGATTCTTTGACCTGTTTCTCAGAAGATTCAGCAGCAGTCTTCTTCGAATGCTTAGACTTCGTCTCTTCTTCTCTTGCCAAAAGAACTCCAATTTCAACAAAAGTATCAATGGTTTGCAAGTAAGCGAGCTCCTTCTTATTTCGTGAAAGCATACGAGTCATTATGTTAAGCATTTAATCCTAGTCTTTATGTTATCTGTGTTAGAGGACTTAGATGTCCTTCATGTTGAACAGTCTAACATCAAGTTGTTAGGACCTGAGTCGCTATCGGACCAAGCAATCAAGCAACTTGTCTTGATTCTCCTAGTATCAAGTAGTAAGGGATCAAAACAAGAGAGGAAAAAGTAAAATGCCAGTCTCTTTGATAGGAGTAAGCTCGGAATTGAGGCCAGGGGTCAGGTTTGTTTGGCATCTATGCCCCCTTCCCTCCAAACAGTATGGGAGCCTTTCAGCTCGTATTGATCACACTCCTAGATCTTCACGGCACCTCCTCCACCATAGTGTGAGCTGGGAGCAGCTCCGAAAATCGAGGCCTACTTAAATAAGTAATGATCTTTCAACAACGTTAACAACACTACGAAGCAAGGCATGAAGCGATTCTCTTGAGCTCTAACCAGCTAAACCCGCTTTGGTGGTCCGCCCCAAGTCTTGCCCATAGCTGACTTCTTTGCTAGATGATATCGAATAGTACGACTAGAGTTCAATCCCTTAGAAAGTCATAGTACGACTACAGGGAAAGAGATCTGAAAGTACTGTGTTGGTAGGATCAACTCGTTTAAGCATGGCATCAGGAATACGACCAACAACTAAAAACTCTTCAGTATCATCAGTTGCATCCTTCGGACAACTATAAACATGGAACACAACTTTTTCTTCATCTGCAGGAACAAGAATCCCCTCATTCTCGTAGAAATATTGTAGAATCAAGCTCCAGTATCGGGCACACAAAATGCCATGAAGAGCATTCGTGTTTTCAATACTCTTCAAGAACTCTTTCCATAACTAAGTAAAGTAATCAACTTGAAGATCATAATATAAGCCTGTGACCATAGCATAAACCTCCATTCTCCCCTGGTCTAACCCAACGGTTCTTCCAATCAAACATCTTAGGAAAATACCAAACAAAAAATTCCAAACACTTAGAAGACCCGACTTCTTGAAATTGATGGGTTTTGGTCATAAGAACATCTTATGTGCTCATACAAACCCTAATGCTTGGATCTAGGTTTCTCTATTGTACATGCAAGTTATCCAATACTATAAACCATAATTCTAGCATTCAAGTAATCATATTAACATGAGAATAGGTTTAAGATCATACCTTGATTGTTATGTAGCAATAACAATCCCAAATCTCCTTGTATTGACTTTAGAAAGCTTAGAGTCACAAATGTCACTCCTCTAATGGTTCACAAACACCAAGAGCAAGAGGATGAAGAGGAGAGAGGATGGAGGCTGCCTAAAAAGTGTTCTAACCCTATAAGAGAAGTTCCCCATGTTTTTTAGCCTTAAGGGTTCTATATATAGTGAGGCTATTACGGTTATCTAACAAGGAAACCCTAATTTGGATGCTTAAGCCCTAAGCAACCCATAGACTCCTTTAATTAAGGCCTTGGACGATTTCCTCATGGGCTTTCCCATAGAATTAATCCACTCCTTAATATAAGGCAATCCATAACCCAAATTACAATCATCTTATAATCACAATTCCAGTCCCTTAAGTTTAATTAATCTCTTTTAGTCACAAAACTAATTACCAATTAATTCTTGACTAATATTAATTAAACAATATGATTTCTCCTTTAATATATTATTCTCATAATAAGTTAATAAATCATATTTAATCCTTTCTCTCCATAATTCATCCTATCAAGTTGCTTTGGTGAAGGCAACCCAAAAGGACCATCCTATCACGATTCTCAATATCTAACTCCCAATATGTAAACCTTTCCATACTTACCATATCACTACTCATTCTTAATAGAATCTTATATATTCATAAAATGTCGATATACTCCATCCAATACTATACTTCCAACTACTCACAAGCGACCAATCATCTGCGAACTTTGGATTGTCCTTTGATAGTTGTTTAATTATCTTAGTCAAAACCGATTCTTGTCTTTTTTCCCTCTAAATGCACTAGACATTTGGAAAATTTTAGAATGGTCAAATATTATAGCATTTGCAATCGATCCTATACCCGAAGCGTATGGGATCCAATGCATAACGTCTTACATAAAGATTTGATACTTTATCAATCTTCTGCCATAATATTTTACGTGCTACGTTCTCACAATTCGAATTATGAAAAGGAATGCCGTAATCATAATCGAAATTTAAGAACACACTATGTATCCTTGACTAAATTTATTAACATTCCACAACCTAAGCCTTTAGATTTTGAAATGAAGCATAATATTCTCTCCCTTAATTATAGCAAAAAAACTATTCAACTCTTACAACTTTGCAAAGTTTGACTCTTGTTTTCTATAATTAATATTTCTATCTTACAATACTTGCCTTAATAATCATACAATCATAACATTTATGCTCCCACTATCATGATGATTATTATAAACATAACGCTTATGCTCCCACTAGCTTTGACATGTATTCAGAAACCAACTTAACTTCCAGAAAAACAATACTTGTTGAATTTCTTAAGTTCATGTTTCTAATACCTAATGCTTTGATAATCTTTTATCAAGGCATCTTAATCTCATACACCTTTATCCAAGATAGCTCATATGTGTCTTAAACAATTAAGACTAATTGCCAAGTCTCACAATTCGAGTCATGGAGAGGGATACCGTAACCATAATCAAATTTGAGAATGAAATTTTACAATTGCTATCTTCTTAAAATCTCTCTTAGTGAAAGCATTTCCTCACAGTCATTTTCATGAAGGAGGGAATCTTATGACACTTAGATTTTAATGGTGTATGTGTTCCTATCCACGTGAATTTGTCAAAACTAAGGTTTGCGACAAATTCAACTCATATGGACCGAACTTTTTTAATCTTGATTTCTTGCGTTATGGTAGCACAGCTGCCCACCATGTCTTCCAAGTAGTTAAGCAGCTCACATTCTCCTATCAATGTACTTTTCATTGATTAAGGTCCTTGCCTTTTATGCATTCAAATGAGAACTCATAGAACTTTCATGCATAATTAACTCAATTGGAATGGCACAGAAACAATATAGTGTCAACACGATAGGTTATAAACCTCAAGTCGTGTGCTAGTGATGATCAATAAGGTCTATTTTGATTTGTTCTTGAACCTTTCAAGTGATGGGTTTTAGGTAAAACAAATAAACTAGAAAACAATTCCTAAGTTCACATGCAACCTACTTTGGATCTATGTTTTATCTATTGAACATACAACTTTGAATTGCAAAACAAGAACCCTAGAGGAGAGAGGCTATAATCGAAATCTACAAACTAGGGTTTAGTAATTACATACCTTTCAATTGTTATAGTAAACAATTGATGATTCCCTTGATCTTGATCTTGATCTTGATCTTCTTGGAAGCTTAGCACCACAAGTGTAATGCCTCTAATGGAATCACACCCAAACTAGCAAGAAGGAAATTAGAGGAGAGAGGGAAGAGGGAGTATGCAAAATTTCGGCCCTTAGGGTTTCTTCCAAAGAAAAGAGTGACCAAAACATGAACCAGGAGGCTCCTTATATAGCTGAGGGATCTAGGGTTTAGGAAAACCCTAGTTATCCTTTGCTTAGGGCCTAAGCAAACCCAAGGGCCTTATCCAAGCCCCTATGGACGAAATTATTAGGGTTTCCCCTAAAGATTTCGTCCACCCTTATCCAAGGGGGTTCTAGAGCCTTCCACTCAACTATTAGATAATTGCAAACTAGTCCCTGCACCTTATAATTAATTCTTTTAACCCCGAAATTAATTCTAATTAATTTCTGGCTAACAACTAATTAAACCAAATGATTTCTTATTAATATATTAATCTTTTAACATATTAATTCATTTATATTAATTTATTAATCTTATAATAAATTAATATCTCTCCTTTCATAATTTCCTTGTCCGGTTGCTAGGTTTGAGGGCAACCCAAAAGGACTGTGCTGCTATCAATTCAAGTACATACCAATTATAGTTATGGGCTTAGACACCTAATCCAACAGTCTCCCACTTGGATAAGTCTATAACTATAATTGCTAGTATGCCTTCTAAATTTGACCAGCAAATTGTAGCTTCCAAAAAGCTGCTGCCGAACTCTGACCCAGTCAGTTACGTGTCCTAAGATAAGTGATCATATAATCCTTCGTTCTGCTAGATATCCCTAGACAAAAGACATGGAATGCAATCAACCTCTTTGTCCAGAATCTATGTTTCCCGATTCCTGATTAGTGATGATGTAGGACTTCTAATTGAACACATCAATTTAGTCCTGGCTGGGCCCAGCACATAAGTCAACACCAAATCATCGAGGGGCCCACAGATATCGCTTTTTCCCATTAAGGAAAAAGGAACGAATAAACATTGACTCATATGCTTGTATCTTTTACTCATCAAATCATACATGATAATACGTTTTATAACACCAAGTTACTGATGCGTTTTCGTATTACCAATGCATAACCGACTTGCAAATTACAACTCATATATCTCTGTTTCAAGATTATAAGATATTATCGTCTCAGTATTACTCGTGATGAATTCCATGAAGTAATACTCTGAGCGAGGGTTTATCCAATACTCAAATCTCAATTTCTGAGTACTCATGAACGTTGCAGCAAAATCTATTGCCATGTCTATCCTTAGACAATCTACAATCCAGTTCATGACAGTCTTGATTCACTACTTACTTCCAAAAGTACGAGCGACTGTGGAGTTTGAATAATCTTATTATTCGGGAAGTAAAACATGCAAAAATGAAACACAATAATAAACAATTGACAAAAGGTAGAACCCAAACTTATAAATAATACTTTATTATTTAATCACCAAAAGTCAATTACATTTACTTTGTTACAAGTTTCAGAACAAAACTAATCTAACTACTAAAACTAATATCATCTTTCAGTCCTATGCTCCGAGCATGCTGAATATGCTTAGCCCTACTCAGACCCTTTGTGAGGGGATCTGCTGGGTTATCTTCAGATGACACCCTCTTCACTATAAGATGG